TTCCAGGATTTCTGCACTTTATGTAATAGAAAACAGACTGTCAAACTACAGCGGGAAGGCCAGGGAGAGTTGGGTGGGGGGGTAAGAGATTAACCGAAGAACTTGTATGGATGCATATAAGCATAACCAATGGACACAAGACACTGCGGGGTAGGGGAGGCCAGGGGAAGGTCAAGGGCAGGCGAGAAGAGCTATAGAAGTAAAAAATACAGTCCCAGAAGCTTGATTTGACCATGGAAGAAAAGCTCCCTTCTTTGGAGTTTGAGTTTTGAGCTGGAGCAGACAGAATGGCCAAAACCTCTCATTATTTAGATACCATGTAGGTGTGATGAGGAGCATTTTCTACTAATAGAGATCAGGATTTTGACATTGGATAGATTAATGCACTTAATGAATATAGTTTACATAAATTAATCAATGTTATCATTAGTATTATTTAATCAGTCACTTAGTTTGTGATGAGTAAATATAGTGCATAATTTTCTTTTCTTTTTTTAAAAATTTTAAATATATTTTTATTTATTTCAGAGAGGATGGGAGAGGGAGAGATAGAAACATCATTGTTGAGAGAGAATCGTTGACCGGCTGCCTCCTGCAAAACCCACACTGGGGATGGAGCCAGAATCCTGCAAACTGGGCATGTGCCCTGACTGGGTATTGAACCATGACCTCCTGGTTCATAGGTCAATGCTCAACCACTGAGCCATGCTGGCTGGACAAGAGTGCATAATTTTCAAACAGCCAACACTTAGGAATTCTATCTTACTCATTGACAACCTAAAGCATAAAATCAGGTGTGAACACAAATTGCAAATATTCACCAGGTTTCATGAATTCAGCCAGCTGAATCCCTCATCCTATCCTTCCAAGAGAACCCTGGTTAACAATAAACTTTCTGGTTGGTATGAAGGGTGTTCAATTCCTCACTAGCTGTATTCCTCTTGACAATCACACATATGCTTTACTCAATTTTTCCTGTCATGGAACTCTCAACCCTCACTTAATTAGGATTTCTCCCTCTCCCTCTCCTCCCTCCCAGCTTTTGCCCACTTATAATTTGTCCATGTCAATTTATAGAAAATGTCCCATTTCTATTAATTTCTTTTTGTCTTATGTATAAGACACCATAGAAGGGTTCTCTTGGGGATCCTCATCCATTGAGAACACACATAATTAGGTCCCAGGTGATTCGCTTGCAGGCATTGAAAGTAATACTACAGAATAGTTTCAATGTTCCACAGTGAAGAGAATTGCCTTGGTGCTAAAGTTGCCTGAAAAACTGTACTTATATAAGGAATAGATTATTTGCTGATTTTGCCAAATTCACAAAGTGCAACTGTCCTTAAAATAATGATTGAAAGAGCATTTATTAGGGTTTCTTAGCCTCCTCGGACAAGTATATCTCATGCATTTCTGTACTTATTTTATGCTGTTTTCCTAATGGAGAGTCTTTGCTGAAATGAATAAGACATAGCTGATACCAAGAGCAGTACATTTTGGGGTATTTCATGTTGTACTTGAAGAAACTGAGGCATAGAGAAGTCAAAGGCAGATGATGTGATTTCCCGGTGCTCAGAACAGCTCTTTGGCAAATATCTATGCATGTCACATATCTATGATCATGTGCTTATCACCCACTCCACTTTGAACATCATATATAAAATAGAGGTGTATTTTTAAATATATGTACCAAATTTTAATTTTCATTTCACACCCAAAACTTCTGTACAAAAAGAGGCAAAGCAGGCAAAAAATCACAATGATAGCAAAGAAGATATGAAAACTTTAAAGCAGCTTTGTGTGTGCACCAGCTTTCATAGATGTAGTGGGGAAATTGAGCTTCAGAGGGTTTGTTTCTTTAAGATAAAATTTCAACATTTCTTATGAATATCTAGAAAGCTCACAGCTGTCTAGGATACACAATTGAATGAGAAGTCTCTGAATTCTACTGGACGCTTGGATTCCCAAATTGAGAAGGTTTTATTTTTCTTTTGAGGAAGCATGAAATTATTTTTACTTCAATGTGATGATGTATCAAAAACTTCCATTTGCCATTAATATCTTGGTATAATGGTAATGACTAGGAGTGAACTTTGAGGAAGCATGATATTAACTGGTAGTTAAAAGATAGTATCCAAGACTTTCTTTCTGGTTGTTAATTAATATGCCAGTCTGAATGGGTCACCACAATTCAAACATTTATTGCCACTTGTTTTGCATTTTAAAAACTACCAATTCCTTGTGGTCCATGAAAGGTTTCTGAGAACAAAGTTATAATGCCAAAATAGCAGTGGTTCTGAGAAATGTAATTTTCCTTTTGTTGCTTGCCCCCCAAATAAATATGGGAGTAACAGAAAACACTGTTTATTTGAAAACTATGAGACAACAGATATGAAATATAGTTAACATTGACATGAAGACTGTTGCTAGCACTTTCCCTAAACCCCCCATAGGTCTTGGACGCATGTGCATGCAGCATAGAAACCATGATTGTTCAAGGACTCCTGATGCCTGGAGGACAGACTGTTAAAAGAACTTGTCTCCCACAATAGCTCTGGAGTGGGCCTAAGGTCCACCACCTGCCCGTGATCACAGACATTCAGTTAACCTGCCCTCCTGACACTCGGAGGCAACCTATCAGACCCTGGGCTTTGGAGAACCCACATCCTGGCGAATGAATTTTGGCTTTGAGACAAGACCACCTGGCTAAACTGGGGCAGGCCAGCAGCCCCTCCCATGTATTTGGTTCCTTTTGATAGAAAGTCTAATTAAAAAATGATACCCGTGCTCAACTATTTGCTCTGCAAGTCCATTCCTCTTTCCAAGACTGAATCTCCTTTCCGGATAAAGGAGGAAAACAGACCCAGTGATGATGAACATTCAATGCCTCTATGTGTCCAGTCTTGACAGTTGTTGCCCAAGGATACCATGTGGCTGCCAAACAGAAGAACTTTTCTTAAGCTGAATATTGAATGAATGTGTTCACCCATTGTTACCCCATTTTCTGGCTTCCTCTGGGACATTAGAACTCCGAGGCTTGAAAAGTTCCTCAAGGCCAACTAGTGCGATTCTATTCTGGTGGGAGAAGAGCCACCCATGCCGCTGTACTGGTTCAGCTTGGAAAGCTTTAAGGAAAAGGGTCTTTCCTCTCTCTGTTGACTGACATTTAGATACAGACCACGGAACCTGTTCTGCCACGGCTGGATTTCTTTGATAAAAAATAAAACAAAACACATGTATACCTCCCCTTTTCTTGGAGGACTCAAGGGAATGCCAGCTGGCCAAAAAATCTGGAAAGCAGTGGTGTGACAGCTCCTTTCTTGGGACATTGTGAATGGCGCCAAGCTCTAAGGTACCCAGACCCAACTTCTGGAATGATCATCCACTTGGTAACTTCCTGTCATCATCTAGGCCAGACTGAGGATTTATTTTAAAGTATCCAGTCTCATCCCATAGTAGTATATATAGGCCACATGGTGAAAAGGAAAATGCATGGAGTCGGGAGTGAGGCATCCTGGGTTCTAGTCCTTCATTGGGGCAGTAGGGTCCTGACTGACTTCACCCTCTGTTCTTTTTTTCCAATCGAGATTAGATTTCCTGGATTTCGTTCCAAGCTATGATCTTCAGACAGAATGACTCTAGGCCAGTGGTTCCCAACGCGGGGCACATGCAATTTGATTTTTAAGGGCGGGGGGGGGGGGGGGGGGAACTTTATTTGCTTTTTTTTCATATCACTTCATATTTTTTAAACAATTTCTTAGTGATTTCTTCCTCAGTACTTCAACTGCCCTTTCATTCTTTTATTTTTTCTCTTTCTGGATGCCATGTTCTTTGGAAGCTTGTTTAGACCAAGTTAATGGCCTTTTAGGCTTCCTCCATGTGAAGAGGAGTTCACTTTTTGAATAAGAATTATATGTCATATAGGAGCATCAAGATTTTAGAGAAGCTTAGGTGGGGCATGGCTAAAAAAAGGTTGGGAACCACTGCTCTAGGCCTTGTCATACCATCAATCATCAGGATAAGGTGGGGTGATGCTTAGTGGGCTCCACTTACTGAGGAAGAATGTGGGCGTCAGTCATTTTAATGAGGGGTAGCCTTGGACTCTAAGGTAGCCTTAGGCAGAGAGGGCTCCTGGAGATTGTCGGTTTTCAATGTCCATTTCAGAGAGGAGAAGGGTGAGACACAGCTGAAGTGAGTTTCCCAAGATCACACTGTGAATAAACAGGGCTAGAACAACTGCAGGAACTCTGACCAGGCTTTACTCAAGGCAACAAACTGGCAATGGGGTCTGGGAGAAGCTGTGTTTTAAAGGCAAGGTAACCAGAAAACAGATTTTTTCCCCTCCAAATGCCCCCAGTTTTCTGATAACGAATGAAGTACCCCAGAACTCTATTGTCACAGGAATGGTCCACAGAGAACAAGGCTCCTATGTGGAGGGGCTGAGCGCCCCGCACTATGCAAATAACTGCAATGTCAGCAAACTTACCCACAATTTCAAAGCCAGAGCTCCACGTCCTTGTCCCTGTGACAGTGGGTTGAAGATCTGTCCTGTTGTCTGGGTGTTCTTCCTCCTAACATGTCCCCAACTTCCAAGACAACTTTCGACAGCCCACCTACGACAGCACACCTATCTATTCTGGCTTCTCTCCCGCGAACTGATTCAAACACAGGTGATTTTCCTCTTGCAAACTGAAAGGGGACTTCAGAGGGGCATACATCCAGCAGAAAGGGAAAATGCTGATGATAAAACACGTGCAAACAGAAAGGCTGCACGTGTGGTCTGCAGTCTCGGGAAAGAGAGGGGGCGTGCCGAATCCCAAACACGTGGGCTGGAACCTCCACATGCATTTTTCTTTTTTCTGGATTCCTCTTTCTCTCTCTCTGCCAGGATACCAGTCGTGTTTCTTGTAGCTGAGCCGATACAGGAAATCAAATACTTTGTGTTTCTATCACTATACTTCCCAGAGAGATTACACATCTAGAATTTAAACACTACCACAAACGATCAGCAATTTCTGATTGTTACAGGTGTAGTTAAAGGACTCCAGTGGCAAAGTTCAACATCTCCAACTTTTGCCTTTGGAGGAGGGGGTTTTGTTTTAGACATTAAAGGTAAGGCTCTCAAGTCAACTTATGCGCTGCTGGGTTGAGTCAGTCAGGATACAAATTAAGGTCCATATATTGCAGTGACAAGAAGGAAACGGTTATGTAAATACACAAGTATTAACATCAATCTGTATTAAATTATGTAAACATATACATCTTCTGAGGTCAGTACATAGATCCTCTTCTTGGAGCAGAGCTTTACTGAAGCATTGCTCGAATCTGTTTGGAAGTCGACTCATCGTTCAAGTGCTTTGTAGTGAACCTGGATGGAGAGAGAATGATGGCATTTACTGTGCAAATAGTGCTCTGTGAAAGCTCCAATAATGACTCACCAGCCCATCTTTGTCTTGGGAGACATAAATGATATTTATAAATCAAGCTTAGGCTTGGTTCTTTAGACAGAGAGCCACATTCCAATGCCCAGAGTATTCTCATATGGATTGAATATTTGATTCTTCCTTCCAGAGGAATTGTGTATTACGATTATTAAACGAATAGATCAAATACTCAAATAATTACGGAGGAGATATTAAGCAGTCTCATTTACAGGGAAGTAGACTTCTCATGACTGAGTGCAGGATCTCGGCCATCTAGGCCACCCCTGCTAAGTCACGGATTTGAAAATATGGATTTGCATAGCAACATAGCAGCTCTAAAACATTTCTAGTTTTCTACTTTCCAGGCAACACTTATCCTCATTGACACCACCAGGGGGCACAAATGGAAGTGAACAACAACAACGACAAAAAAATGATGCCATCTGCATCCTCCCACTAACCTGGTGCAGAAATAGTTTATGAGAAGGAAAGGAAGGAGAAGTAACATGTAATAAAATCTTGACCATGTCCTAGGCTCTCCCTGTGAGTTCTCATTTCACTGACACTAACTCTTTGCAAGAGAGTTTTTTACCTCCATTTTACAGAAGTCAAAACTGAGATGTAGAGAGGCTACATGACCCATTCCAGATCACAAAGATGACCATGAAGGATTTGTGAACAATTTGGATACAGGTCTGGCTGCCTCAGAAGCCTGTGCTGTCTCACTTTACCACAGGGCCTAGGGGGCACACACCTGCCAGCACTCACAGGAGACCCACAGCCTACCACAGTGCCCTACTCTGGAAGTCTTGCTTGATCCAAAAACTTCAGTAACTAAAGTCTCTTTGCTAAGATGAAAAGCCAGCCTTCTGTGAAATGGGCACCACTGGAGAAAACCTTGGTTGACCCTCAGAATCCTGAAGGCTCTTACAGTAATTCTAAAACCGTTCTGAACAATGATGGAGGAGCTCCACAAGACAGGATCAATCTGTGTCTAGTCTATTCATTTCATAGGCATCTCATTCCTTCACTGACTGAATGAAGATAATGGATGGGCCTTACTTCTCTGCATTGTGATGATGAAATGAGACGTGACTGGGAGTGGAGTACAAAACATTAAAAAGTGTTGTATGCAGGTGGAATATTACTGATCTATCCCTGGGGCCTGGGAGGCTGCTTCGTCTGATGAGCCCCTACTAACCACAACCATTAAGCAGTGTGGCTGGGAGTTAGGGCCACAACCTGCGGGATCACCCAGACCTGGGTTGAGGTCCTAGCTTGGCCATCTGCTGTGCAACTTTTGGCAAGTTATTTGACTTCCCTAAATCTCAGTTTTTTCCATCTGTAAAAAGGAGATGATAAAAATGGCGCTGACCTTATTAACAGGTTGTTGGGAAGAGCAAATGTATTACAATATGCAAATGACTACGCCTGATGCCTTAGCCCTCAGTCCCTAACAGCATCTATACGTTTGCAAAGGATCTAAAGGGTTGGCCGCCCCTGGCAAAGCTACCCCGGGCCTGAGGCTCACCTGAGGGCATTCAGCAGCCCCTCCACACTGTCCGGGGCCTGTTCCTTCAAAACCTTTATGCAGCCTTTCATCTGGGAGGAGAAAACACAGCATTTGTTAATATCCTAGTAATTCTGTCCATAATAACTTCTGTCCATTATAGTATTTGTCCATAATAATATCACATTATTCCTGTTCACAGAAATGACCAACAGACCTTCTTCTTCCCCCGCCCCCAGGCCAGTGAGTTGCTCCTCTGGGCTTCCAGAAGGTTCCACATCAGGTTATACTGTCCTGCAGTTGAGCATTTTACATATCTGGCGTGTGGGGACACAGACTTGAGCCTTTGATCTTCTTGTCTTTTACTCAAGAGCTAAGGACAGGACTTTTCCTCCAGGAGGTGCTCAGTGGAGGCTGAATGGATTATAAATTGGCCACTTTATCCCATCCCTCTGCCCTGAATGCTTTTCCTCCTTCCGCTGTTTGTTAAGACTCAACTGAAGATCACTAACACCAGGAAGCCTCTTCTGACTGCATTACCTTCACCAGGTAGAAGTCACCGCCACCTTCTTGCATTCGCAATAGTGCACTGGCAGTTAGAGAACCTCAGAGATGTTAGTGCCCACACGGACTGTCTCCCTCACTAGACAGGAGAGGACTGGGAAAGACCAGTGGTTGGGAATGTGAACCACATGGAGGCAGAATGACTGGGTTTCATCCACGCTTAACTTGTTTAATATCTTCATGAACTGAGGCAAGTTTCTTGGCTTTTGTGCCTTTGAAATATAATTTATTCAAAAGTTGGGGGGTCATGAAAATCAAATTTAGATCATAGTATATCATGCATATCCTGGAAAAAATTTTTGACAAAGGAAGAATCTTGCTGCAAAGAATACGGTCACTCATTTTTTTTTAAAAAAATGTATTTTATTGATTTTTTGCAGCGAGGAAGGGAGAGGGATAGAGAGTTAGAAACATCAATGAGAGAGAAACAATGACCAGCTGCCTCCTGCACACCCCCTACTGGGGATGTGCCCGCAACCAAGGTACATGCCCTTGACCGGAATCGAACCCGGGACCCTTCAGTCCGCAGGCCGACGCTCTATTCACTGAGCCAAACCAGCTAGGGCCGGTCACTCATTTTAAACTCAAATGTTCATGCACTATATCAGATTTGGGTACATTCAAGACCTCTTTTATAATGGTCACTTATCAACATTTTCTGGGGGTATACCTCTGGTATGCTGTAAGTTTTTCTTTTTTTAAAAAAATTTTGGATTTATTTTAGAGAGAGAGAGGAAGAAAGAGAGAGAGAGAAACATCGATTTGTTGTTCCACTTATCTGTGCACTCATTGATTGATTTTTTTAAGGTGCCCCTACTGGGGATTGAACCTGCAACCTTGTTGTATTGAGACAATGCTCTAACTGACTGAGCTACCCAGCCAGTGTGAAAGTTTTTCTTAAAAGCCTGATAAACCCTGATAGTTGTATGGAGGTAGCCAAAGCACAGGGTTGAGAATCATTTGGGGGTCATGTATAGGCTTATTGAGAAAGAATGTCATGGTCAATCAGAGATGCCAATCATGGGTACAAGATGGGACCAAACTGCACGATGTAGAGATTTGTTCCCTCTCCCAATGGAGCTCGTAGTCCAGTGGGAAGAGAGAGACAAATAGCTCATTATCCTATGTGTTCTTGTAAAAGATGCTAAAGGAGCAATGGGACCATAGATTAGAACAGGGTTGTAAGAGCAGTGGGTACCCTTTGGGAATGTCTAGTTCTGTTTCAGGCTGATTAAAGTCATGGGTATGAATAACAAGATGTAGTTAGGAATGTAGTCAGGGCCAGATTCAATTTGGGGTTCATTGCATGTTAGGAAGTTAGGGGCATTTTCCTGTAGAAAACACCCTTGGTGGGTGTTAAATAATCTAGCAATGTGACTAATATGGAAATGGATCAGAGGAAGCAAGACTGGAGATAGGAGGAGCAGTGGGAACTCCTAAGGGTATGGTCACCTGTCTATGGTGAAGTTACTAGAGATAATTTTAATTTTGTGTATTTTGATTTCCTGTATTTTCCAAAAGTTTTCATACTAAATATTTTCTTGGTAAACAAATAATTACAGAAAAATAAGTAAGACTCCCTGAAGAGTCATGTCTAGCTGTGCTAGGAAGCTGGAACCTCAAAATGGGATAGGGGGTAACGTGGGGATAAGGACACATATGTAATATCTTAATCAATAAAAAATATATAAAAAATAAAATAAATAAAATAAAATAAAAATGAGTAATCCAGGTTGCATTTTTAATTGATATATTTTCTCACATTCTGAAGACTCATGGCCCCTCTGGGCAGGTAGACTTTCTGTGTGTCCAGGACTAAAGCATCAAAGACGCTGTTCTGTGCAGATGAAGGAGCATAGAGGGTGCCAGACTGTTAGTACAAAGAGGTCCTATTCTGTACTTAAAAGGCTTTAAGTCAACAGATGGGATACACTACTGAGGGGGTGCTTGAAGCAAGTGCTGGGCTGAGAGAACGCATGTTTTTATCACACTATCAACAGAAAATCACTTGCACACCAACATCGACTGTTTTCTCCTTATATTCATTCATTCATTCATTCAGCAAAAGCTCTATGGAGCATCTATTGAGTCCCATGCTCTATGTGCCATGGACACTCCTAAGCAATAAATCAGACATTAGGTATACAGAGAATGGTCTCTGCTCTAGTCAAAGAACTGCATCTGTGAGGGAGTCAGAAAACCCAAAATGGTAAATGCTCTCGGGGTTGGAAAAGAAGGAAGGCCCTGATCCATGCAGGGGCAGGATGAGGGATATTTGAGGAGGGTCTTAAAGGAATCCACCCACAAGAGAAGAGGAAGGGTGCTCAGGGCAGGGAAAAGAGCTCAGGCACCTGCCAATGACAAGAAAAGGCATGGGAATCTGGTGGAGGCGCTGGAAAGTGGGGTGGAGAGGAAGTTGGAATGTTGTTTATGATTTGAGGGGGGTGTCTTGTGATTCAGTATCTCCTAATGCTTTTCATATAACGTATTAAAAATATATTTTGCCCTAGTTGGTTTGGCTCAGTAGGTAGAGTGTTGGCCTGTGTACTGGACTGAAGGATCCTGGGTTTGATTCCAGTCAAAGGCACATGCCCAGGTTGCGGGCTCGATCCCCAGTAGGGGACATACAGGAGGCAGCCGATCAATGATTCTTTCTCATCATTGCTGTTTCTCTCTCTCTCTCCCCCTTCCTTCTTCTCTGAAATCAATAAAAATATATTTTAAAAAATAAAATATATTTATATAACACTGATAAACTGAAGGGGCACTTGCAGCTAAGTGACTGTTCATCTGCTCAGCTCCTCTACTGGCTGAGTGGATCAGCTCCTCCACATTCCTGCTACGCTTTTGAGGTTGGATGCTCTGTTGTAAGCACATAAAAAAGTTGGACTTCTTCCTATGAGGAGAGGCACCAGGACAGGGCTTGTGTCTTGGAGAGGTCATTCTTAGTGGGGGGTGGAGGAGTGAGAAGCAAGGTCTCCTTGGCAGCACTTATGTACTCTTATTGGAAAGCGCATTTTATAATATTCTTACATCGATCTTGGACGTCTTGCAGAAAGCTCCCACGGGGTGGACGTGGTCGTAGAGGATGATGACCCCCACCATCACCCTCATGCAGAACATCAGCGTTTCTTCGCTCGTAAACCTGCTCCTGTACTCCCTGGGAGAGAGGGGAAACGGCAGGGGGGTTACTTCCTGGCCCGAGCATGCTCATGTCTGGCTCCACACTGGCTGCCTGAGACTCCTCCAATCCTCTCCTGAGAACAATCCCAGACCTGCCCCAACCAGGTTAATATGCTCTTCTAGAAACCCATGATGATAATTCTCCTCGAATCTATCCCACCAGCAATTCAGTGCAAAAATAAGGTAAATTAGAGGGCAGTCAATTCTCTTCTCTTCTGCCCTTCAGTGAGCCAGCTCAGCGCGTACATCACTCCCCACCCATCAATCCTGAATATTTTATAGCAGTTCCCTCTGGCTGTCCAAGATTATAGAGAATGATGGCTTCATTATAGAGAGAAAGAATCAAGCTCATTTCCACAGAGCAGCTATCGTGTCTCCAGTCAGGGTAACTTCCTTTGTTAAGATACAGGCTGCAGATTGAATTAAATTGTGGAAGACACCTTAAAGAAACGATGTGCCAGTCATTGGGCTGTGAGTATTCGTGAAGTCTGAATTTTGTGCACTTACCCTGACAGGGTCTCTGATGATTCAGATAATTCTGGCCAATACCAGAGGCTTTCTTAATATCTATTTCCTTATGAATTGGCCCTTCAATGAAGATGATTACTGTTTTTGTCTTGGAATAACTATTAACTTCGGTATAAGCAAAATATTTGAAATTAATACCATCTTCCACGTGAACAGAACATCAAATTTTGTAAGGGATTTTTGATCCCTTTTGGCATCCCAAACACTCTGCAACTTAGATGGGGTTCTGAGGATGGTATCATATGAGGAAACCAGGGCCCAGGCAATTCAGACCACTTGTCTCTGGGCCCAGAGGGGGCTACAGATCTAAGTGGAACCCTGACTTTTGAGTGTGGATTTCCTCATTCCCATGCTGCCTCATCCTCAACAAACTCAACCATTTTTTAAAAATCTAGCAACTAGCTTAAATACAAAGAGACTGCTAGGAGAGAGAGAGAGAGAGAGAGAGAGAGAGAGAGAGACCTTCATTATCACTCCTGTAACAGTCTTATCACTTCTCCTGGTTCTAAATCTTCTCTCAAATCTTTTCTCCAACATATTACTAATAATATCCAGTTATTTCACCCAATCCTCCACTTGATTCTTACACAATTTCTACAGCATCTTTCTTTGTTTTTTTGTTAATCCTCACCCGAGGATATTTTTCCATTGATCTTTTAGAGAGAGTGCAAGAGAGAGGGAAAGACAGAGAAAAACATCCATGTGAGAGAAACACATCGATTGGTTGTCTCCTGCATGTGCCCCAACCAGGGCCTGGGCTGGGGAGGAGCCTGCAACCAAGGTACGTGCCCTTGACAGGAATCGAATCCGGGACCCTTTGGTCTGCAGGCCAATGCTCTATCCACTGAGCCAAACTGGCTAGGGCTCTACAGCATCTTTGACTCGAGTGTTGGCTCTGCCATCTAACAAGTTTTGCAATCCTTGGAGAGTCAGCGCATCTTCTCCAGCTCTGACGTGGGATAACGACACCTACCACCGAGAGGTCTTTATGAGATTAATTCAGGTAACGGATGTGTAACTGCTAATGTGCTGACCCAGTGGTTAGGAGTCATCGCCATCATTACACCAACAGGCTCTGCCTGGTGAGCTCTCGGCCACCAGTACAGCTCTGACGTCACTTACGGCGTTTCCAGCATGACTTTACAGACGCTCGTCATGGTGCTGAGGCAGTCTGTGGTGTTCTCTATCGGCAGGGTTTTGTTCTAAGTGGGAGACACGAATGGATGTTAGCTCTGCCAGCAGCCTTTACCCGCAATTAAGGAAAAAGCACCTCGTTGCTCAAGTCCACTTACTTCGGAGACAAAGTGCATGGTGGCATTGCTAAGGGTTTTCAGCATGGGCGTGGCTTCCGCATAGAAGAGGGACATTCGGTTGGCCATCTCGTTATTGACTTCATTCTCAATGTCTAGCTGATAAAAACAAGAAGAGAAGATGCAATTGATAAAGAGATGGTGAAATTCCCCAAACAATGTTCCCTGGAGATTGAAATGTAGACAAGACCTGAGACCTGCCCGATGCAGACACCAAAAGAGACGTGGAGTGCGGGTGTCTAGACCCAAGGGACCCAGGCACTCACGTGCATGTTGTTGATGCGGTTGCGGCTTATTGTCCTCCTGTAGTAGCTGAAGTCATTCTGAATAGCCGGGTTCCTCATCTGAAATTCAGAAGGGAGGGGAGAAGGGCATCTGTCAGCATCAGTGGGGAACTCACATGGGGAGCCCAGCACTAGCTCTGCAAACACACCAAGACTTCTCTTTGCTACACGAGTCCATGCAACTTCTGGTTAAAAACAAGCACTCGGAGCTTCATTATTTAAAAATATGCCCTGTTTTCACGGGGAAGTATATTTGTTCTCAACGAGGAGCAGACACTCGAAAATGTCTCTTATTGCATGAACAGAATTTGAATTTTCACATGAAAACCACCATCTTGTCACTTCACCACAATGAGTGCGAATTCTCGCCACATTCGATGTCTCCCTAGGGAAGGAGCTACGGCATCTCACTCATGTCTCTCTACTCCCCTCCCCACAGCACTGCAGAGGATCTGTACGCAGCAGGAACTCAGTACAAGCTTAGTAAATCATCAAACATGTGTGGCCTAACCTTCAGCTCATCGAATCGAAGGGTAAAATGCAGGATTTCCGCAAATTCCTTTGCCAGGGCCTGCTCTCGCTCCAGGTGCTGGGTTGGCGTGTAGGGTGGACAGGTCAGAGATTCTAATAAACTCTGAAGAGCTTTTTCTGAAAGTCAAAGGGATAAATACATATTTGAGATGGCCTACGGAGATCCTTCAAAGGCACCATCTGCAGCCCCCGCTGACATTCCCAGAGATAACCTGCTGGGGTGGGTCTTTCTTCTCCCTGTGCTTCCATGTCACTGTGGTAATATGATGTGTGTGGACCAGGAAGAGAAGGAGCCTTCACGCTGAGCAGGCTGCCTCCACTGCAGAAGTCCCCTCCCAACCCCACGCCATGGCCACACGGTTATGTAAATGTCTCTCCAAGCTCAGCTGCACCTTCCCCTGTTCAGTAGTGCCAACTGCCAACAGTGTTGGGAAACCATAAACACATGTTTTTGGATCATGTGCATGAGACAGCCATTCATGATGCAGGATGAGACGGGGTGGCCCAGAACACATGGGTCAGATAACCTGCTTTGCAGGGAGAGATCTTGGGTTCTATGCCCGCTCTTCTCTGCTTCTACAGTCTCACCTATTCCCAGCAATATTTCTTCTACTAACCCATTGCCATATCTACCTCCATTATTGCCCGTCACATTACTCCCACTTGTCTGTTTTTAAACGTTCCCTCCAGTTTTCAAGTCAATGTATTTCTAATAGCACTGAGTCATTTAATCAACCTTTTATATTAGGGGTTGGGAAACTATGGTCCCCAGGTCAAATCTGGCCCTTTTATTTAAAAGTCTTATAAAAATTTTAAATAAAGTTTTATTTAAAAACAGGCACACTCATTCCTCTCTATATTGGCTATGGGGGGTTTTATGTGACAATGGCAGAGTTGATTAGTTGCAAAACCGGATGGCCCACACGCCTAAAATACGTATTATCTGGCTCTTTACAGAAATGTTGCCGGGACCTGCTCTACAGTCCTTTGATGTCCTTCAGCATCTTTACAAGGGTGTTTCCAGCCCTTTCCACCCCTGGGACTGCACTGTCTTCTGAGGCAGCTAGTTCTACCTTGACCTCCCCCTGCAGGGGGATCTTTTTCCTTCTATTGAACTGAAACGTGTTCCATAGGTTTCAGTTCATGGGTCGAGATATAGACTTTGAGGAAACAGAGAAACTGATCCTGCATCAACCTGAGAGTCTTCAAAAGCTCTTCCTTCCTGAAAAACTGGTTCGGTTCATTCAACTACTCCTTCTGGGTCTTAGCTTCAAGTTCTCTCAACATCATCGCTATTATTCTCCTCAATTTCACTGTTTTCTTTTTAAAATGTAGCATTTATTTGTGGCAAAAATAGAGTAGAACATGGCTATGCCCCTTCTTCATTCTAGACCAGTGGTTCTCAACCTTCTGGCCCTTTAAATACAATTCCTCATGTTGTGACCCAACCATAGAATTATTTTCGTTGCTACTTCATCACTGTAATGTTGCTACTGTTATGAATTGTAATGTAAATATCTGATATGCAGGATGGTCTTAGGCGACCCCTGTGAAAGGGTCGTTCGACCGCCAAAGGGGTCGCGACCCACAGGTCGAGAACCACTGTAGACATATTGGCTAAGAAAACCTCAGCTTTCCTGTTGAGGGGAGTGGTGACATCAGATCCGAGAACCGCTGTAGACATATTGGCTAAGGAAATCTCAGCTTTCCTGTTGAGGGGAGTGGTGACATCAGATCGATGTTCATATTGAGCCTGTTGTCAAGCAGGCCTGACTTTGCTCTTGCTCCTGCAAAGCCATCTTATACCTGACAGGGTTCTATTTGTCTTGTTGTTGTTGTTTTTCTAAAACAACAACAAAATTTTCTGTATTAAATTTTTCTGTGTTAAATTTATCACAAGACTCCTGCCAACCAAGTTCTTCTTGGGTTAGCAGGTAAAATGAATCTCCCAACTTCTCTGTCACCCAGAAATGTGATCAGACCACAGTGAAACTGTTTAGAGTCACACTTAGCTGAGAATAAGACCAGAGGGACCACCGATAGAGACACTCTAAACGTGCCAAGATATTCAGGAGAAGAAACATTGAGGTGAATTGAAAGAAATGAAAAGGACAGGTGGTGTTGTCCAAGAATGGCCTCTGAGAAGACACAGCGAGTGGATGTGGGCCATTTCCTCAGGCACTGAGCTCTTCCTGTGACTTTCACCAACACCATAATACAACTTCACACGTGGGATGTGAAACTAGAAACACGAACTCACCTAGCCTTATGGAAAACTCGTAAAATCTCTTTAGCCTCACGACCAGAGGACACACTGCATTCCACGCTTTTTCTTGAAGCTGGATGTCATTGGGATTTTGAATGGCCTATAAAAAAAATCACAGAATTGTTTAGAAAGAAAATAAGCTCCACATCAAAATGACTTAAAATTCAGAGAGAATCTACATTTTCAAAAACCCAATTTCCGATGCACTTTACTAATGTGCACTTGTTAAATGGACGTCAGTTCATCAGACTGTCCTCCAGGATGCTCCGTTAGAATGGAGGTTTTAGCACTGATCATAGTGCAAATGACTCTGCAATTAGATCCTGGGTCAACGTACTAGTTTCTCTTATCTTACATGTAAAAAATGCACATCTAACAGGAAGCAATGCAACCCTCGTCCATCGCCATTTATTCTTCTAAGTAGAGCTGGTGCTCATTGTGAAATGAAAATTCTGTAGATCTTTTCCGTTCTCTGTAATACGTGTTGCATTCCTGCCAGTCGGTGATGTTACCTAAATTACCTACATTCGTGGTGACCTCCTAAGTAGAAAAACAACTTTTTAACAGGCTGTTACTTTCTTAGAAATGCTGTTTTGTCTGGGCTTCAGCAGCTGGAGGATTATGACGTCAGCGGTATTTATTTTCCAGAAGGATTTTGGCAGCGGCAGTAGGGGAGTGTATGTCTGTGTGTACATGTGTGTGTGCACATGAATGTGTGTATGTGGTGGTACTGCCACAAAACTAATTCTTTCAAATAAGAAGGGTGAGAAGTTCCTTGCCTTTCAGGCGTTTGGAAGTCTCAAAAGCCACACTGACAATTTCCTTTTTTGCTTTGGTGGCTGTCTTGTTTTTCATGTATTTATTTATTTTTAAATCTCCTAAGTCAGTTCCAAATGACAGACCTGCAGGCTACGTGAAGTGAGATAGTTCATGACTGCTGTTTGTGGTGCTGGTGGAACCCACCCAAATTATTATAAAATGTTGGAAAGTTCATAGAAATCCAGGTCTCATGACTCATATTTCAACTGCTATTCATAGACTTTCTAGGTACGTTGCCCTCAAATGAAGTAACAGGCTGACAAATCATTGTGTGCATGTGAGTCTTGCAATATCACATGTGTGTCTGGGAAGAGAATGGCTAATATTTGACATGGCCTACAGCAGTGTGTGTTCAGATTAATGTCCTACAATACAAGGGGTTATTCATACGCTTTTTTTGAAAGGACACATTACCGTCCTTGTTCTTCCTACTACACTAGGAAATACTAGGCCTGTTACTTAATCCTGCTGTGTGTGTGTGTGTGTGTGTGTGTGTGTGTCCCTATTACTTAATCCTGTGTGTGTGTGTGTGTGTGTGTGTGTGTGTGTGTGTGTGTTTCCCTTCTCCCGCAAGGGTGCTGTCAGCTGGGTATTGTCATTGGCATACGTCTCGGATCTCCGGGCCCGCGCCCTTGTACGCCTGCAGGTCGGCGAGGATGCTCTCGGAATCCTGGAGGACGGCGCTGATCTGGTTCCATATCTCCCGCTCGCCTTCCGTGGGCTGGGCATCTGCGCAGAAGGGACACAAACAGACACGGAGCGCTTGCGTTTACAAACAACCAGGGAAGAGGTCAGCATGCAGCTTGACTTGTCAGACAATTTTATTTTATTCCTGCAGGTTTTACTCTTTAGTATTTACTCTTTAGTATAATAAGCTACAGGGAAGGGACCGTTAACTCGTGGCCACTACTCGGTGCAAAATACTCATCCATCTTTCTGTACACAGGAGACCAAGTATGTGGGAATCATTATGGGTTCTCCTTTACCTGTGGAACACACTTTCTGCACACCTACTATGTGTCAAGAGGTGCACCAGGTGCTGGAAGGTATAAACATCGTCTTTTTGAAACCACGTTTAATAGGAGAAGCTATTGAATATTTTCCATTATGATTAAAAATCAGTGAATCTGAGTATAGATTGGAAAAAACCATTCCCTTCATATTTCCACATAAAAATAAGCTTAAGAGATTAGATAATTTTCCTTCAGAGCCAAGAGAGAGGTATCTTTCCAGAGCACACAAACAAGTGGCACATTCGACCTCACATGAGGGAAGAACATATTCCAACAGCCCCGGAAGCAACCCCTTCGCTCCTCAGTGAATGTTCACTTGATTGCATCCCTGCAGCCAATGTAGGCTCTTGTCCCAGGAGTAGTTATGCGGGCTGGTGGGTGAGCACTGAGTGGGTAAAGGCTGGGCTCTACTCATCTCACAATACCTATGAAATGGAGGATTTGCCTGGGCTGGCAAGAACATTCATCTCCATCCAAAGCAAAGGCACTGCTAAGGAAGGAAAGAGATAGATGTCATTTCCCCAAGCTCTGATTCCAAAAATCAAGTCCCAAGGCACTACATTCTTTCAGAAGACCCTGCCGATGAAAGGGTGGGACCGAGTTATGTCTGGTCTCACACTCTCGTGAACTGTAATAATTCAGTGTTCCTCGGGGTATAAAACAGAAGCCACAAGACAGGTGACATCTAAGTGAGGCCCTCACCACGCTGCTAGGGCCATCGGAGAGGCTGAGTATGGGAGCAGGGGTTAGGCCAGATGTGCTGGGCCTGCACTCACCCAAGGCAAGACCCTTGAGCAGTGATGCCCATGGGGATTTTTAGACCACTTTCTTACTAGGCCCTGCTCAGACCCAAAAAATTGGTAGCGTTACTTGGGAAATGAAGGGTGTCATTCTCTTTAGAAAAACAAAACCAAAGCCCTATAGATTTTCCAGAAACGTGGCAGACTATACTTCTAGGAATGAGATGGATTTCAGCCAGGGAATGAGGAAGGACTCACGTACATGCACAGGAGGGTTCAGAGAAGAGATAGTGTGGATGGGGAGGAGTGAAACCCACCTCATGCAAAGGATGAGGCCAGGGCAGAAAAGGGAGGTGAGGGAGTGTACTTATGGGGAGCTTGGAACAGGCAGGCAGCTGGGGGAGGAAAGAGGCTGCTGGGCTGGAGTACAGGATCCGGGCTGGGAAACAGAAGGGGAAAGAAACGTGTTGCTCCGTTACCTTTTGCGACCTTTTCGCTTTCCCACAAGCACTTGGTAAGTTTTCTCAGGTACCATGTTATCCACAATATTAACAAATTTATAGTTTGTCCTTTCCTGCTTTTCCAAACTTCTCTCAAAGCCACAGGGGTGTCTTAAAACAGAAACCTAAACACCACAAGTAAAACAGAAACCTAAACACCACAAGCTAGCAAGCCCCACAATGAAGAAAGCACGTCAGTGGAACACAATTCCAGGGTAAGAAGGAAGTCAGGGAAGTGAACACGGGACAAAAATGCAAAGTGAAGATCCTAGAAAACAAATAAAAATCAAACACGCCAACCCTTTCCCCTTCGGATGAATGTCTCGAAAAAAATCATAAGCTAAACAAAGACCATTTTCTCAAAGAGATGTATCTTTAAAGAGGAGGAAAAGAAAAATCAAGCCTGTGACCAGGATTCCGAGGGGTAAGTGTGTTTGCATGTAATTATAAAGTAGGTGTAGACTGAGAAGGCACTTGGGAACCAGGAGTCGCAGCCTCCTAATCTTGGCTGTCACAGGGCTCTGTCCCTGCGAGCCACCGCTGGATAAGCTTTCAACAAAACAGAAGGAAAGCTCAGTGGGCTGGAAGAGGGGTGCTGGGCAAACAAAACCCCCAAACCCATCCTTTTGACGATGACTGAAACACAAAAGGAAAAAGATTTCGAAGTCAGTTTTTAAAAATAGAGGTCTTACGTACTCCCAGAATAAGACGGTTTCTGATCGAGTGGCCTAAAGGAGTGACCCTTTCTGATACAAATCAACCCCGACAGTTATGTGACCACGCAGAGCGGGACAAGCAGCACGGGGTGGTCACCTTTCTCCCAGCGGCGGAGCGGGGGGGCGGGGGGAGCTGTGTCGAGAACCTTCCACTACAAGGTCACTCACCCCTGGAAACTGGAGTGACCTGGGAAACGGGACCCCTGTCCCAGCCTCTGTCTCTGGGAGAATGTTTCTCTTGGCAGGTATCCTAGTGTCTTGTTTGAAATGTTTCATGTGGCCCCGGTTAGCAGGGGTGGGATGGGAGAAATCCAATCCGCCCTTCCTTCTTTCATCCCCACTTAGTAATGAGTTGGCTCAATCAACCCCGACAGTTATGTGACCACGCAGAGTGGGACAAGCAGCACGGGGTGGTCACCTCTCTCCCAGCGGCGGAGCAGGGGAGGGGCTGTGTTGAGAACCTTCCACTACAAGGTCACTCACCCCTGGAAACTGGAGTGACCTGGGAAACGGGACCCCTGTCCCAGCCTCTGTCTCTGGGAGAATGTTTCTCTTGGCAGGTATCCTAGTGTCTTGTTTGAAATGTTTCATGTGGCCCCGGTTAGCAGGGGTGGGATGGGAGAAATCCAATCCGCCATTCCTTCTTTCATCCCCACTTAGTAATGAGTTGGCTCATTTTCTTCCATCATTTGTTGGTGTTATTATTGCATGCCCTAATTTTTCCTCCTTCCCCTGTGATGGAACTGAGTCACCTCTTCTTCCAGTTACTAATTAGGTCCTTGATGCCAGCAGCATGGTCCCTGTCCTCTGGGTGTATAAGAATCAATCAGGAGACCTAGATCCCAAGGGACGTTGGACTTCAAGGTGAAGACTGCTCACTAGGGGAAGCTCCAATCTGCCTGTCTGTTCCTTCTTCCAAATGGGAAAAGGACTGTGCAACCCTAAGTGACATTTGGCAGTGGCCCGTGTCCCTGTGGAGATCCATAACTCATCCTATCTTTATCATCCAGCTAAATGATCAGTCAGGACTCATTAACAAGAATCTGATCCATTAGACTGTAGGACTCTGGCCTTGTTTCATTTAATATCATACCTCCAGGGCCTGGCACATAGTAGATGCTGCAGAAAAATTTGCTGAACAGTTGACTGAATGATCCTATATAATAAAAGGGTAATATGCAAATTGACCAAACGGTGGAACGACCAGTCGCTATGATGCACAGTGACCACCAAGGGGCAGACGATCAATGCAGGAGCTGTCCCCTAGTGGTCAGTACACTCCCACAGGGGGAGCGCTGCTCAACCAGAAGCTGGGCTCATGACTGGCGAGCGCAGCGACGGTGGCGGGAGTCTCTCCTGCCTGCATGGTAGCGCTAAGGATGTCCAACTGCTCGCTTAGGCCCACTCCCTGCTAAGCCAGCAGTCGGACATCCCCCGAGGGCTCCCAGACTGCGAGAGGGCGCAGGCTGGGCTGAGAGACCCCCATGAGTGCACAAATTTTGTGCACCAGGCCGCTAGTTTAAATATATTTCTCACACTATGTTTCATGATGCTTTTCCTGCATGTCTTTGAATTCTGCAATCTTTGGAGATGAAGTTGGTTATTCTTGTCCTCAGTGCCCCCATATGCCCTACTGACTGGGGATTCTCAATAAACATGCCAAGAATCAATGAATAAATGAAGGAATTGACCAGGTGGCAGAGAATGTAAGTATTGGAAAGCAGTGGAAAAAAAAATCCTATTACTTCTAGATGGTCCCTTCTGTCTCTTCTCTTCAAATGGCTGTTATATCTCTCACTATTACCATTAAGATACATGTATTTTCTTGCAATCAAATTAGCTATTCACACTTGCATTAAGATGTGTGTTTTTAAATAATCCATCACTTATTTATGGCCTCAATGTCTCCTCAGTGTAGTTAACACACTAATTGGATATTTGTTGAGTGAAAAACTGCACTTATGTTTACTCTCCCAATCTTAAGACTTGTATCATTTTGCTTTCTGGGACATTCCCTGAGAGGCTTTGGGGTTGATACTTCTGGCATGCTCCACATTGGTAACCTTGTTTTTTAAAAATATATGTGTCTGCAGATGGCAAGGAGAGAGACCTCTTGAAAAAGACCTTGACAAATTAGTGATTGAAAGGTTATTATATTTAACCTATCAGCCACCTCCCAAGGTGTGTGCTGAGTCAACACCAACTCCCAATTACAGGCTTTGTTTGTCTATTTTAACACAAAGATTGACCTTTAGTCAATGGTACACACACGCACACAATGCCCGCCAATTATATTACTGATGGAAATGGATTTTTTTTTTTTCCTGCTGCAGCCAGTGAATTCTTTCGTGACGTTTCTTCTAAGAATCACATTCTACACTTCTAATCATCACCAATGATTTCATCGAAATCGAAGAGAATGGTTCCATGAAGCTGGGCTGCTCCCGTCGACCAATGATGCTGTTACACATCGCTGTGATTTACACAGGCCATTTCAGAAACCAATACCTCGGGGCGCCCTGGAACCAGCCCTTCCAGGCCATTCCCCAGGCGATGATTTAAACCCCTGTCCTGTACTTGCCATTGTGGAAAGTGTGAAAATGTATCATGTGCTGTGTGACCTTGAATATAAACACTCATCGTCAAGAACTCACTGAATGCCGAGTGCCTTGCATCTTTAATGGGGAAAACTCCCTCATCAGTTGAGAGAGGTAAACAGGTATTCATTTTGTTTGCAGGGGATCTATTTATCCTTCTTTG